GCCATTCATAAAAAACGGTTTTTTGGATTTTTCGAAATTCTCTCATTTTACGATTTTACAAGCAAAAATGTGAAAAATCCTTAACATTTTTGGGTGCGCATGTTGTCCGGAACTTTTCTCGGCCCCTAGAAGGAATTGGGGTCTCATTTTTGGAGGGTAGATGGGAAAAGTAATTCCCCAGATACATTTTTTCGGATTTCGCCAAATTTTTTAAAATAAAGTTTTTATAAGGATTTTTCTGAAAGGCCCTTAATAAACCGCGGGACCGGCCGTGGTGTCCGGGCCCTAACTCGAAGCCCTGATGGAATTCCGGGCTGAAATTTGGACCGTTTATGCAATAAATGGTGGTGATCATGCGCATCTTATTATCTTTGCAAATTTCCACAGATTCAAACTAAAAAATAGAATTTTGTAAAGAGACCAGAAGGCCTCCCTCCGGGAAGATTGGTCACCCTTATCTTTGCCCCGCCTCCCCAGGACAGAACAGGCCTTTCCCGCCGTCTCCTCCCGTCTGCCCCTTGGTCTAGTGGATTAGCGCTCGGCCTACCACGCGCAGGGTCGTGAGTTCGGATCCTGGGAGAATTTCGTTTTTGCTTTTTGGTAGTTCGGCAACAAAACATAGTTCTAGGATCTCGGTGTGCAAGATTTAGGTCTGGCTCTCGCTCTAGCGCCGCAGGCCAAAGAAAAGGTACTTAACCCAGGCTCTGGAGCCGCAGGCCAACGATGGGTCCTTAGCCCAGGCTCTCGCGCCGCAGGCCAGATCCTGGAGAAAAACCAGTATCTAGCGCCGCAGGCTCAAAGATTCTAGCGCAACGCTGGCTCTGGCGCGTCAGGCCAAAGAATGGCTCCGTGGATCAGGTTCTAGCGCCGCAGGCTAAAAAAAAAAAAGAGGGTATTCAAATTCATGGGTCCTGGACGGGGTCCAGTGGAAAATGGCCGCGAAGCGGTCTTTTTCCACTGGTTGTTCATAAAAAAAAGTTTCGCCTGCGGCGCGTTTTCTGCCTTGTTTTCACACGAATTTGAGCACTCGAACTACCCAGGATCCGGAACCAGCAATTTTCCGAGTTTTTCTGAGGGCACAAATTGGCCGAAAAAAAACGCCCAAAAAAATGGCGTTTTCCGAGAAAGGTACTAGTTGCCTTGAATGGGATCCGTCTACTACCATTGTCTGGGGCCCAAAAAAGACCCAAAGAGAGAGACCTAGAGGATTGTTTCGTGTTTGTCTCGACGTCTCGACTAATAACCCCTCTCTATCGAAACATCAACAACTGCAAAAAAACGCGATATTTGCCCTCTTTTTTGATGCCCAAAAATTCAGAAATCGAGGGGGAAACCTTATGATTATTTTCGGGGGTCAGACATCTCGATGTCTGTCTGCCACGTACTTCCTCCATTTTTGATAAATTCGGGCAACGGCAGCCTAGCAGAGATCATTTGGGAGCTCCTGGCTTCCTGTCACTGTCCCTTTCAAGCTTCGTGATTTTTCTGTCTGCCTGTCCGCCCACGATTTTCTTGATTTACTTCCTCCATTTTTGGGAATTTTAGGGCAAGGCAGGCTAGCAGAGATCATTTGCCAGGCTTTCCTGTCACTGTCGCTTTAAAAACATCTCAATTCTGCTGATTAAAAGATATGCTAGCAGAGATTTTTTCTAGATATCTGAAGGGCAAACCCGACTGAATATTTTACCGCAAGCTAGCAAAGATCATTGGGGAGGGTGAACTAGCAGAGATGTTTAGGGAAATTTTGGGATGCTTAATGGGTTTCTAAAGGCACCTGGAAGCCAAAATCCTCTGGATGTTTTCCTCCCTTTGATACATACTTTGTGTCTTCTTTCCAGGTCAATCCGAACAGGCTAGCAAAGATGATTTGAAGATCCGGCATCAGCCAGCAGAGATCATAGGACATTTTCGGCGGGTTGATTCGGCTTTCAAATGTCCATGAAAGCCGAAAATCCATCCATTTCCGCTTTTTGTCCAGGGTCAGCTATCAGAGATTCTTAGGGAAATTCTCGAGCGCGCATTTCTAGGCTTTTAAAAACACTCGGAAGCCAAACACCTACGGATTTTCTGTTATCTTTAATGCATAATTTTGCGTGCCGTTTTGCAGTCCATTTGCAGCTCTAATTTTTTCGGGCAATACCCCCGTTCTGCTCTCTTTTCAATTTATATGGAGAAGATGCACACGTCAGTAGTAGCGTTCCGTCTTCTTCTCCTTTCCGGAATTCTCGAAATTCCTTTCCTCCTTCTAGGAGTCCAATTTCCAATCTTCCATCCCCCCATCCACACATCCAGAATTACCCAAAAAAACGCGTTGCCCTCGGCGCCGCCTTTGGCCAGAAACGGAGCCCGAGAACTGGATAGCGTTAATGTTTGTCCATGTCTGGCAGAAAAAAATCGCGATTAACATACCGTAATCCTTGGACAACAAATAGTATCGAAACGCCCAATTTCCGAATTTTTCAAAAATTCTAAAAATTGTTTAAAAATATCTAGCGCATTTGGGAACTAAAACACGATACCATTTCTTTAGCTGACAACTAATTTGTAAATATAAATAGTTTTTATTCCGCGAAAAATCGGATTCCAGAAAAATTCGATTTTTTGAGAAAAAGTTGAGAATTTTTGAATGTCAAAATCTTTTAAAACAAATTTCTCGTGCGTTTCTCGATGTAAACGTAATATTTGTTTTTTTAAACCTCAACGGTTTAGCTAATTAAATAGTTTTTCATTGCTCAAAAAAATAGCATTTCGAGCAAAAATTATTTTTGACGAAAAAATTTTGTTTTTGAAATTTCGAAAAACTTCTAAAAATTCTCTCTGCCATGTTTTCGACTCAAATCTGGTCGTTTCATCCTAACTGGCATCTAGTTTGCATAAAATAAAATGTTAAAAGCACCCGAAGATAATTTTCGAAGATCAAAAAATTAAATGTTTCGAAAAATTGGCATTCGGGTGCTTTTGGAAATTTAAGCTTTTCGTGGCACTAATACCGTATCCCCAGGTCGTTTCCAGAACACGAATATCATCCTCCAATCCTCCTCTCCCCTCTGCTACCAATATCAAAGTATCGGAAATGCCCCATTTCCGGTTCTGTGGTCCTGGGGGGCTATCCGAAGGCACGATTCGATGAATTGAGGCTTAGATCCCCTATTTTGCTCTTCTTGCAATTACTCTCTCTCTCTCTTTCTCTCTCTCTCTTTCTGTCCCCTCTCTCTCACCCTCTCTCTCTCTCTCTCTCACCCCCTCTCTCTCTCACCCTCTCTCTCTCTCTCTCTCTCTCTCTCTTCCAGACGACCATCCATATATCTTTACATCCGGTCCCCTTCCTCCCTGCGAAATTCCATTTCTTTCCGCCTTCACGTTCCCCTCGCGAAATTTCCGTTTTACCGGATTGATTGGCCTCCAGAATAAATCGGCTACCTGACGCTGCCCATTTTTCTAGACCTCATTTTGCCGAACTGCCATCCAATTCTGATTATTGTCCAAGAAAAATCAGGATTTAGGCTACAAGACCGTAGTTTTGCAGAACTTCGCTCTTTAGTGTTATTTCGCTACACTGTCTGCCAGTTTGCAAGTATCGAAGGTCAGATTGTTTGAAATTACGCTGGGAGGGATATTATTTCAATTACGTGTCTCAAGGGGGCCATTTTAGTAAAAACAAAATTGGACTCTTGACTCGGTTGGCCTAACCAGCTGATTTTAGCCTACAACCGATTGCCTGATTGGTCCACATTTTAGCTTTAAAAAATGTCTAAAAACCCTAGTTACCTTGGTTTTAAGGGTATTGGCGAAGCAGGTCAGCGTTATCGATTTCTGCCTATGGGTTCCCTATCGATTTCCTGGGGTGGCCTCCCTTTACATCGTGTAATCGATTACGACGTTTAATTCCTGGCAACCGCGAGGCGCTTGCGTTGCGCATCGCATGACTTGCCCAGTCCTTTAAAATAGATTTTTGGCAATTTTTAGGCTACAAAAACCTCAGAAGCGCGCTGCGACACACAACGCGGACGTCAATTTTTCCATGCGTAATTTCGATGCGTAATCGATTCGATTTCGTGGCTTTAAAGGGCGTTAAGCGGCCTGTGCGTTGCGTGTCGCGGCGCAGTAACACCATAAATGTTCCATACTTCAAAATCCACAGTTTTGCCTTGTCGGTCCCTTTAAAATCGAATTTTGGCATTTTTGAGCGGATTTTAGGCCGCAAAAACCGCTAGACCCCACTATTTTTTTTGGATCCCCTGTAGGCAAACAAGTTGTGGGGCAGAAAATAGTAGCATTGGCCACATTGGAAGGATCGGATAGAAAGAGAGAGAGAGAGAGAGAGAGAGAGAGAGAGAGAGAAGAGGATGGGTATTATTTCATGACTTCACAAAAGCCTCTCTCTCACTCTCTCTGCCTCTCTCTCTCTCCGCCTCTCTCTCGGCCCTCTAAAGGTACCCATTACAGCCCCAAAAGCCGAAAAAAGGGAAGAAAGCCCATAATTTGTGACTACGAGACCCCATCCCCTCCAAGGGTCCCAGTTTTAAACTTTTCACAAACTTTCCCGGGACCCCCAAAATTGCCGAGGGCCAAGCACTTGTGGCTCCCAGTTAAAGCCCTTTCTATATTTTTCGTACCGATCAATTTTCTTTCAAACTGACTGTCATAAAACGAGCTCTGATGGCCAGTTAAGCTATAAATCCTTTCTTCTCCTTCCTAGGTCCCAATTTTGTGACCAAAAGATGGAAAGACCCATGTAAAGTTCGAACTGGCAGTCAGTTTGGCGAATCCAGCTATAGTGAAGCTTCTCCAGACTTAAAAGAGCCATTTCCGGGTCTGGAAAACCTCGAAGAGCAGCTTTTTCTTGACTTTTTGAACTCTTTATCAGGCTCCATCTCTGGCTTTTTCTCGTCTGTCTCTCTCTCTATCTCTCTCTCTCTCTTTCTCATCTCCCCTCCAGACATCCCATGCCCCCCATTTTCATTTTTCTAAAAGCAACATTCGAATATTTCAGGGAGCTAATGCCGGATGTCAATGGCACCATGCACAACTGCAGCTATCGATATACAAGTAGGGATTTTTAAATTAAAAAATAAAAATATGCGAAAAATCGGCCAACTGGCGACCAGCCAAGATTTTAATGGTAAAAACGATGAATTTTCGAAGCAAAAAAGTGAAAATCGTTAGGAAAATCGGCGGAGTGGCAGCCAACCAAGATTTCAAGAGCTCAGAAAATACAGATTTTAGGTGCAAAATTAAAAAAAAATTATAGAATTCGTCAAACTGGCAACCAGCTAATATTTTAGGAATCTTAAACTAAAAATTTTTCAGTTTTCCGGAAAAGTTGTCCCTCAATATTGCGAAAAATCCATAGAGATCCATGCCTTGCACGTCCCTTTAAAAGCCAAAAATTTTTATTTTATTGCAGTGAATGATCAGCAGACATCATTCGCGAGATGGGTAGATGGCCCGTGTACAGCATTTGCTGCTGTATTGGCGTTGACGGGTACGGTATTCGCCGCCAAATTTCTCCTCAAAGCCGGTCTCAACAAACATCTCACTGCTGGTGGGTTTGGCTGGCTGGCTTAAAACGGGTGTCTCCTAGACTACAAGATCCACCTACTTACACGGGGTTTTTGAACCCTATTCTGCATTTTAAAATGGCTGTTGTGGATTTTTAATGCTCATACTCAAGCTTAAAATTAAAACTGTCTACCGGACTACAAAGTACATCTCTTGACACTTTCGTTTTAGCCTTGTCCTTGCTTTTAGCGTGAAAATTTTGCGATTCTTGAAGCCTAAAAATTCAAACTGCTTCTGACGCTACACAGTACACCTCATTACGCTTCTGGTTTCAGCCCTATTCTCCCTTTGCGTGGTTGATTCCCTTCTGATGTGTACTGTATTGATGTTCTATTCGATCGAGGCGATTGGAATGATCTTTTTAGGAACGAATATTATGTAAGTTTAATTTTCATCCGTCAAATCGATAATCTGGCATCCAGTTTAGCGATTTTGACAAAATTCAGTTAAAATTACGGTTGCATTACGGTTACTAGTCTTGCATTTCTAATGTATTTTTTTGTAAAATCGATAAACTGGCAGACAATTTAACGAAATCAATCGATAAGTCTATTTTAGGTATCAACACCAAGCATTTACAACATCATTACATGGCGTCGCATCGTCAATGACCACATCTTCAGTAGGGATTTCCCATCGTAATCGAATGATCCCTTGTACTTGTAGACAATGTTGGTCATCTACATCTCCCTCCAACGATGTATGGTGGTGATGAGACCATTACGATATGCAAATACCCTGCAAGAGAGGAGCAATAGAAGTACGCAGAGGAGGGTGAGTTACATTCGATTACGACATCAAATTGGAAATAAGCTAAATGGTGAAAATTCAAGCAATGGAGGTTGCTAACACCTGAAATGCCGTACAGTTTAGATCATATTTTACGCGATCACGACATGAAAATCTTCAAAAATCCCGAAAAATAAAGTTTTGACTTGCAAAGTCCTTTAATGACCATTAGCGATGCTTTTACAAAGTTACTTTTTGTAGAGAGGTAGCCAGTTTACCCGATTACGACGTGAAAATGGACACATAATTAAAATGACACAATTTAACATAGAATTACGCTTTCAAAATCGATTGCGAAATGGAAGTCGAAAAATCGGAAAATTCGCGATTTGAAGGTTGTAAATCCCTTTAATAGCAACCAGTTTAAATTTTGGAAAGCTTATTTTAAAAATTTGAAGTCGGTTTAACCGATTACGACATGAAAATCGAAAAAATGGGAAAAATAAAGATTTGACTTACCGAACCCTTTAATGGCCTCCAGTCCAGCCATTAATTTATCGGTTATATTTGCAGATGACCCAGATCTCGATCCCCGGATTGGTACTGTACTCGCCACAGTCCATTTTCTATAAAAAAGCTTTTTTGTCTCGCCACGCCCCCCATTTTTGCATTTTCTACCGTACCCCCCAATTGTCCGCCAATGCAATCACTCACAAAATCCATCCGTTTTTGCTTGCTTTTCGATATTTTAAAAATTGCTAAAATCCCTACCGTTACCCCGCACCTTCAAAAAGTTTAAGCCCCGCCCTTTTTTGTGCACGCCTCCCTGGCTACAGAAAATCGATAGACCTACCGTAATACTCGCGATTTTTCAGAAAACTCGTAAAAAGAGCCATCGTCGGCCGATTCTGCGCAATTGCTGCCAGCACTTACCCCAATCGATTTTGTGCGTGAGCTGCCGTTGAGGAAGATACTGAAACCGTACTTGATGCCCAGTAAGTTTGGAGTTTATAGTTTTTATGCCAGAATAACCATTTTCATCGTTTTTAAAAATTACCAAAATTTTTGTTTGACGGTCGAAAGCGGTATTCATTTTGGTGTTTGGTATATTGAAGAATTAATTTTGGAATTTGGAACGCTTATAAAAGCCTAACAACCTCAAAACAAGGTATTTTCCTCCCAGGGAGCCTTCGCTGGCTTCTGAATGCCTTAAAAATGCCGAAAAACTCGGTTTTGACGCTCAAAAAAACTCACACTTTTGCAAGTCGAAAAATAAATTTTTAACTCTAGAAAGTGTTCTAAATCTAGAAACTTACAAATACCGTATTCTGACTGACCAGTGACCATTTAGAAACACAAAAGCAATTATCTAAAATGAATGTATATTTATTACAATATTTTAGTGTTCGTGGTGCTGCTCTCATTCGCGATCAACATCCCGGTCCATTTCGAGTTTGTGGTAGAGCCATGTTGGGATGATGAACATCAACAGGAAGCGTCATGCCCTAATCCGACGCTGTTCCGAGGGGATGTAAGTGTATTTGGTTTGTCGTACAGTCGGCACAAAAATATCAATTTTCGACAAAAAATGCCGATTTTCGACAAAATTTCGAATTTTAAGCATTTTTCGACGTTTTAGTGCATTAAATATACTAAACCGAATTACAGTACGCCCGTATCAAAGCCGTTCTGAATACGCTGACGCAAACAGTCGGTCCAGTGGCTGTGATCTCTGTATTGACTCTTCTCACGGAAATGAAGGTCCACAGAAGTCTGAAGGAGAGGAGAAAGTACGTTTCTGTACTAATGACGCTAGATACGGCACTAAAAATAGCTCTAGCGCATCGGGGAAGCGTCCAAAATTTATGATTTGTGTATCAATAGCAAGCTCTTGAAAAGGCGAACAAAAAAAGGGGAATTATTTTTAGTAACTTTTTATTATTTTCCTCTTTAGCGCTTTTACAAAAATAGTCGTTTTCGGCGGGAAATCATTAATTTTCACGATTTTCAACGATAAAATTAAAATTCAAATTGTAAGCAGTATTTTATTACTATTTTTCTCGCCTTTTTACATGCTTTATTTTTCTGTAAAAAGGGTGAAATCGGACATTTCCCCGAGCAACTAGAGCGGTTTTTAGGTGTGTTTTTCCGATTTTTTGAATTTCATTTTTTAGATCGATATTGAACTATTTTTTAGGTTATTCGAAAGCCAGAAGCGGTCTCGATCTGTGGTTTTGACGGAAGAATTGAAGGAGAAAGTCTCGCGTACCGTATCCATCTTTATCGCCGTCAAATTCTTGATATTACGGTGGGTGCAATTTGGAGCAAAACGGAATTTATTGAAAAATTCAAAACAATCGTAAAATAAAATTAGGTAATATTTATTATTGAGTAGAGATCGAAACGAGTAAAAATAAATAGGAATTTAGTAAAATTATGTAAAATCGTTTAAAATAAATTAAAAAGTCCGGAAAATGGTAGGTTAAAAGATCGGCCGATCAGCCGCTCATTTCCCCAGCTGTGCCCGATTTTGTGGAGGTGATGCCGGGGCTGGATCTAAAATATAAACCTTAATTTAAGCCTGAATTAGCAGGATAAATCAAAAAGTGACATATTTCAAAATCATGTTTTGCAAAAATTTAAATTTTTTAACATTAAAAGATGTTTGGAATTTTTAGAAACCAATTATGTACCTGGAAAATCGGTGGTTGAGGCGTCGTGTTGTATTTTTTCATGAAGAACTGAAAATTTCAAATTTTAGTTGATTTTTGAATTTGAAAAAACTTCCGCAAAAATCCAAAAATCGATTCCTTTAACAGTATTTTACAAGAATTCTTTAATAATATCAAATATTGTTAGTCAGTTTAAAAAATTAGCCAAAAGATTCAAAATTAAGTTCTAAAAAAGCTAAAAATCAAAAATGACGAATTACCTTACCCTCTCAAAAAGCCTCTTCATGGATTGATGTCCAATAGTAACCGGAGCGGGTGTAGTCAGTGTAAAACGGAATACACTCATTTCTTCATCGGCCTGTCGATAGGAATCTTGCGTACTCGTCATTTCCGGGGATACGGTAGTTGTCTGTGGTACTGTAGGCGCGCTAGTAAATGTGAATCTTCGCTTTGTAGTCTGGGTGTATTTTGTAGTCGGGGGTACGGTAGTGGGGGCTACAGTAGTGGATACAGGCACCCAAGTGCTCATCGCCGATCGGAGGGCCGACAGAAATGCCGACGGGTCTCGGGTTACGGTAGCCTGCTAAAATGCGATATTTTGAGAAATTATTCTTCACCGTGGTGGTAGGAGCTTGGCTAGTTGCCAGTTTGGTGATTGGCAGAGTTGTTGTCACTTCAAGGTCGGCGGATTTTAATGGCGTAACCGGTTCACTCATCTGGGGCTCCGTGGCCGGCTAAAAAGCAATAGAATCCCGGCCACAAGCCACACAATTGAATTGTAGTGGGAAAAAATTTAACGTACCAAATAGGTTTACTAACTGGCAGATAAGCTAATAGCTAGGAAAATCTAGACTACAATGCAAACTCCATATTTTCATGGCGTAACCGGTACAGTGATTTTGGGCTAGGCAGCCGGCTCAAAAACCTAAAATTTGGACTAAAAACTACAAAATCTCATTTTAACTGGACGATTTGGATTACTGGATGCTAGCTAAGAGAATTTGGACTACAAAGTCGGCAGGCTACAAGCTACAAACCTGTGGCTGGACGATTACCGGATATGAGACAGCCGGAAGCTGTTGCGACGGCAGAGATTGGAAGAAATAGGGAGGGAGAGGGATATAGGACTGTTGTGGAGTCTGTAGTTTCCCGTGTTCTTGTTGAGAGATATATTCTTGAGGGGCAGAGGGAATGGAATGGAAAGAGAGAGAGGGATGGAAGAGACCGAGAGATACTGGGGAGACCGGCACCATTCCGGGCAGGAGTTGGGAGGGCAGAACACCTAAAAATACATTTTCCGCAAATTAACTCTGCTGAATTGCCTTTGCTGCCTGGTAGTTAAGCGATTAGCAATCAAATTTTGATTTTTATGGTGCTTTTCCGTTACCGGGACAGGAGAATCACCTTTTTTGGCCTAAGGGACCAACTTTTTAGAAGGCAATTTTTTTTATAAAAATAAGAAACATTCTAGCATGTTTTTAAATATCCTAAACGTATAAACTTTACAAATTTTACATTTTTAAAAACTACGAAAATAGCGATTTTTCGACCAAAAATGCCGATTTTCGATCAAAATTCAAGTTTTTCAGTACATTTTTAATATGTTAAGATATTTTTGCACTTGAAAAATCATTTTGCTAAAGACGCTTTTAAAATACCGTTTATTAAATTACTAGGAACCTCTGGATTTATAGCAAAAAATGGCCCTCCCCCCCCCCCGATAATGCAGAAGTACGTGAAAAAGCCAGATTTTCCAATGGTCTCTGCTAAATTGTCCTGGTTGACTGCCCATTAGTCTATTAAAGCTAGAATTAATCCATTTAATCGATTCTTACCCGGATTCCTAAAATCGAACAACGGGAATGCCGGCTGGACAATTGATGGCGTAATCGGATCCGAGGGAGTTAGAAATGGATATAAATAACCTAAAACCATCTTTCAATTCAAAAAAAATTAAAATTTACCATGAGGGGACAGCTGAGGGGCTGGCAGGTTGCCAAATTCCGGGGCGCGTACATAGTAGCGCAGCGTAGCCGAGGCCGTGGGGAAACTAGATGGACTTAGCGTTTTAAAGGGCCATTGAAGGCAAAAACCATAAGGTTTAGTTATTTTTGGACAAACTGCCAGCCACTTCGATGCCAGATCGTTTTTTAGAGGGACTCTGAAGGCAGAAATCCACAGGGCATGTCGATTTTCATTAAGTTTCCATCGTATTGGCACGAAAATAGGGTGCTAAAGGACCATTCAAGACAAAATCCATAAAGTATTACAAATTTTTAGCTTTTAATCGTCGACCTGACTACCAGTTAGCATTTTAAAGGTACCTCGAAGGCAAAATGCAGTTTTTTTGGCTTCGAGCCCCTTTAAAAGAACCTAGAACTCACCATAATGCCATAAAAATCAGAAATATGCTGGAAAATGGCATTCTGGAAAGCAGGGAATGTTGTGGCAATACAGTCTGGCAGTCAGTCAGTCAGTTTGTGATGATGATGGCTATGATGATGGGATGGGCCATCACTCCCTCAATCCTTTGGAGGGACCCGGTCCTCTCCAGCCACCCCCATACCGCCAAAGAGACTGGATCCTGCAAGGCTAGGCGGTGGACATCATTAGAGAGCGACAAACCATTGCCATCTTTGGGCAGTGGAATGCCGATGGAATGTGTACTTTGTAGTTTTGGCTCAAAAATTTGGCTTTCTGACCTCCCAAAATCGAATATTTGCAGATTTCGGGAAAAATCCGGCAGGGGAAAATTTGTAGTCTGTAGTTTCCAGCAAAAATGACTCGTCTGACAGCCATTGTATTCAAAAATCACCTATCTGACAGCCGAAAATACCATTCTTCATGTTCAGGAAAATATGTAGCCTGAAAAATAGAGGTATGTAGTTTCCAACCAAAAAATCGGCTTAATTGTCAGTCAACTCGGCGAAAATAATGTTTCTGGCATCCAGCTAGCTGTTTCCTACAACTTTTATGGCAAAATTCTAGCGGGAAAAATTGCAGTCAAGCAAAAATGTTTTTTTTTGCTTCGAAAAATCGCATCGAAGTTGGAAATTGGAAAAATTGGCGTCCAAAAAAGTTGTAGTCCGTAATTTAATAAAAGATATACATTTTTTTTGCCATAAACCTTCCATTAACGCCCCTTTTTCAGTTCGATGCCAGTGTTCTTTGATATTTGGGAGAATGTGCACGGGATCGATTCGTTCGGAGTCGTGCTCTCAATTCTCGTTCGACTATCCGATTTATGATTGTCCTCAATTCGGCCACGAATTCTCTCGCGTATTTCGGGAGGAAAAGGTGGCTCGAGAGGAGGCTCAGGTAATCAAATAAAAATTCGAAACTGAATTATCCTCAGCAGTTGCTTTGAAAAATTAGATCGGCAAGAGTGTATTTTGTAGTCTGACCCAGAATAGCTACAAACTACATCATTTACGGATAAATTGTTAGCCAGTTTGATTTTTGATAGCCGTCAAACCAAAAAAAAATTGAAATTTTAATTTTTTATTTTTTATTTTTATGCTAGTTTATTTAATTTTTAAATCCTTATTTCAGGCTTCACATGATGAAAAAAGAGGAAAAACGGCAGAGACAAGCGAGTTTGAGTGGAGGAGGAGAAAGGGGAGACAGCAGACGACAGGTGAGAGAAATGAGAGACTACAGGCTACAAAATAGACCCCAGATCGTCGAGAATGAATTAGAGATTTTAAAGGGATTGTCAAGTCTATCCATAGCAAAATGCCTTGCCAATCCCTTTAAAAATCGTTTCTGGCTGCTTTCTAGAGCTTTTTTAGGCCTATCCGGCTGGCATTAGTAGTTTAGATGGCCAACGCAACGCACACGCGCCGCTTGTCTCAATCGATTACGCAATGGAAAGGCTGACGAGCGATTACATTGCGTAATCGATTACGTCATGAAAACCGGGGGTGTGCGTTGCGTGTCACGGACTTGGATTCCATGGAAATTTCGCCGCACCCGAGACACGCAACGCGCACGTCCCTCCACAGCCATACAGGGTGTCCCAAAAAAAACGAACCATCTGGCATTTCGCCGTGTTACATCCAATCGGCCCCATTTTAATTTGAGACCAGAAGTGTATCAGACCTAAATAACAACAATCTGACTTACAGCCCTGTAGCTATGGTAGATTTCGAGGATTATGGCAAAAACAAGCTTCCATTTCGATTTTTCATAGGGTTTTCGTGGATTGGAGCCCCCTAAACATTAGGTAAAAATCATCATTGACCTTCTTTACCTTGAGAAATTTTTTTCAGAGTAAAATTAATTAAATAAGCTTCGATTTAAGCGTTTTTTACAACGCAAAATTACCCAAGTTCCTAAGCGAAATTAGGGATTCGCAGCCGGAAGTTGATGCAAATCGATGCAAAGTCCAAAAAGATAATTCCTGGAAATGAAAATGAAAAAAGATTCCTGGAAAAAGTATTTTCGTTATAACTCCGAAAGCTACTACTAGCTACAGGAGCTAAAAGTCGGGATTGGTGTTATTTAGAGGTTCTGTTACACCTCTGGTCCAAATTTTGGGCCGATTGAATGTAACACGGCGAAATGCCAGATGGTTCGTTTTTTTTGGGACACCCTGTATACAAGGCGTAATCGATTATGCAATGAAAATAAATTACGATCGGTTAAATTGCGTCATCGATTACGTCATTAAAACGCGGGCCTGCGTTGCGTGTCGCGCCGCCGAAATCCTTCTGAAACCCATAGCCAAAATGTCTTGTCAGTCCCTTTAAAAGAATTTCTAGCTGCTTTCTAGAGCTTTTTCTAGCCCTGTCTGACTGGCTATTAGGTGTCCCTATAGCTCGCATGGCATTTCAGTTTGATCGGCTTCATCGGTAGCATTGAACCCTCGTCTTACCGTATCCTGTACACCATCACTCGTCCCTCCACAACTAGCATCATCTACAACAGCTTGTAGTACAACAACAACAATGACAAGGGGGAAGACAACGACACAATCATGTCGGGTAAGTATCGATTCATTTGGAGGAAATTCGAGCCAAAATAGAAAGAAGAAGGACGAATTGCCATTTGGAAGAGAATGGACAGGTTTGTGGAGGATTGGATGAAAGGATTCGCATTAAAGGGATGGTGCCAGGACGGGAATCTAACGCTGGAGGCGGACTTTTTGGCAGGCAGCCAGCTGGCTGATAAAATACATTTTAGTGCCAAAAACTATCGTAAACGATTAAATTTAGCGGAATTTTTTGGGCAATTCGCCAAGCTGGCTTACGGCACGCCATTTTAGCCCAAAAAACTGGCGTAATCGATTAATCCTGGACGAATTTTCTGGGGAATTCGCTAAACTGGCTAACAATATACATTTTGGAACCAAAAACTAGCCGAATCGATGAATTTTAGCGGATTCTTTTGTGGAATTCATTGAACTGGCTTACAATAAACACTTTGGAACCAAAAAACTAGCGTAATCGATTAATTTCGTCCGAATTTTTTGGTCATTCGCTAGACTGTGGTACGGTACGCAGTGATTTTAAATCCAAAAACGTAGTGTAATCGATTAATTTCGGCCAAACTTTGTGCGAAATCCGGAGATTTTGCCTACAGTATGAATTTCGAGCCTCGAAAAATACTGTAGTTGGCTCAAAAATCGGATTTTTGTAAATTTTCGAGACAGTCGGTCAAACTGGACTACAGTACATCAATTAAACCCGTCAAAAAGTTGACAGCCTGCCAAAAACCACTAAAATCGTCAGAGAATCCCCTGCCCTGTCCAGCCCCTTTCCAAGCGATAGTTGCTCGGAGGCATGGGATGCTGTTTGCTCTCTCTATTTCTCTCTCTCTCTCTATCTCTATCTGCTGTATGAAAATCTTTCAAAATATTCAGTTCCCTGAGTTATGAATGCTTTCTATCGAGTTGCTAGCCATTTTAGAGCTTGTAGTTTGTAGTCCAATAGAAAATCCCGCAAGAAAAATTTGTGGAAAAATCCTTTAGTTCCGGATTGCTGAGTGTAAACTACAAGCTACAGACTACAAAATACAACTCAATTTTATTTAGGTACCCGGTGAGAAGCCGAAATGCCTGAAATATCCCTCCACCTCAATTCGACGCCCCGATCTTCCAGAAGAGCCCCAATCTACAGCTGTTTCTCCACCTCTTGCTCCCCTATCTCATCCGTCTCTCCATTCCCTTCCCTCTCTCCCCTCTTCTCCACATTCCCCGAAAATCCTGATTACAACCTCTACAGATCGTCCACCGTCAAACGCCAGTAATCACTCGTCACTTTCTGAGTCTTCGCCCAGTCGTTGTTAATTGTTTCATTAACCGGTTGCGTATTTAAAATTGCAAAAACCTTCTCAAGAGTGGCCAAAATCCAAAACAAAATTGGCGCCTTCGGCATGGTGCAATGGTAAAGCTCTCGCCTCTCACCCACAGGGTCGGGATCGACTTCCCGGCCGCGGGAAAAGTTTTTGCTTTTTGGCCAGGAATTGAGGATCGACGTTTAAAAGCTATTAAATCGATACCAACGTATTTTTTTGCGTTTTTAAGACCTCTTTCGCCTAATTTTGGGTCTCATTTCGGAGGTCAGCTGCTTCAAAATTAAAAACCAACAAAACGCAATCGTAATTTCTATAATTATTTCTGGCAAACAAGTTGTGCGTCAGAAGAGCCGAAAAGCCGAAAAAATCCACCCGATAACCTCTAATTACCTATTGGCGCGATGGCGCGATATTCACGTGCCCTCCAGTCATGCCTCCCAAATGCTTGTTGATCTCACACATATTTCTCTCGTTATCTCTCGTCCATTTCTCTCGCCTAAACGGGTCACACATTGTTTTGTATACAATAAAGCTATATATTACGGTAGATCTCGTCGAAACAAGAAAAAACACCAGAGAAAAACCTCAGAAAAACCACTTTTTCGCGAGAAAATCGGCAAAAAATTCAAAAAGAAAGGAGATATTGTTCTTTCCATTTCATACGGCTAAATTACAATAAAGCTATGTAACCGTCAATTGAGACTATGAAGCAAGATAAAATCCATCAAAACGCCTCAAACAAACAATTTTTTACAAAAATGCCGATCTACAAAAATCTCACAATTAAATACATCAAAAAGAGGTTTTCTAGCCAAAAATTACTAAAAAAATCAGAAAACCAGCTAATATTGTATTACTGTAAAATTAGAAAACCGTAAACCGTGAACCGTAAAAACGTAAACGCGAAAAATTTATTGAAATTGCCCCTAAAAACGGCACGTGTTAGCTTAAAATTATCTAAAGGTATCGCACCTAAAAAATCATTTATGACGTATTGCTCCACGTAATATAAACGCACTAAACCCATAAAACGTTCTCAAAATCCAAAAAGCATCACCGTTTATTACCCCACAAAAAAAGAAATCCATATAAAAAGGACGAGGGATCGATCGATAGATAGGTAGAGGGATTTCTATAAAAACGAGACGATAGATAAACGGGGGGCAGTCAGGGATTGGAGAGCTAGAGAGGGAGAGAGAGAGAGAGAGTGGGGAGGGAGCACGAGCTCGGGAAGAGCACGAGCTAGGGAGAGGAGCACGAGAGAGGCCATTTTAGCTGATCGCACGGCTGATTCTACCACGAATCACAATCAGAAATAGGCAAAAAAAAAGAGCAATGAAGAGGAAGACACACACAAGTATTTGAGAAACCAAGAAAAGAGAAAAAAAAAGGGGAAATTCTAGAAATGGGAGGAGGAATCCTAGGCATAAAAGAATGCATAAATAGAAATAAAAAGCGAAATTAAATAAGAGGGCTATTTGGCGGCTACTTCTCATAGCTTTGATGACGGGCTGGCTGTCGGTAGATGATCATCATGGCCGGCCAGTCAGAACTGGATGAAATGCCACTTGTCCACTTCCACCGGGATGTCGGCTGGCTGGCCCAAGGGAGGCTGCGAGGCCACCTGCAAAAAAAGCATGTAAAAAAGTCCTAAAATCTTTGGAAAATTCCGCAAATGGATTACTGCTAGTTTGAATCTGCAAACGCGCAAAGTTCTCAAATGGTTTCTGCTAGTACGTCTGCCCGAAAGCCGGGCAGCCTTAAAAACCGCGCTGTAAAAAATGCAAAACCGAGAGAATTCCGCAATGACCCGTGCTAGTTTGCGCGTTGCCGCCTAAAAAAAGTTTGATTCCCCAAGGGTTTCTGCTAGCTTGCCTGACCAAGATTCGCCGAAACTACAAAAGGAGTGTAAAACGCTATATAATAGAAAATCGTTGGAAAATTCCCCAAATGATCACTGCTAGCATGACATAGCGTCAGAATCCGCACAAAAGAACTGCTAATCCCAAAGGGTCTCGGGTAGTCCGCCTCCTCTCACCTGCTGAGCCCATAGATCCTGGGTGACTTGGTGTACAGCTTCGGGTTGCAGTGATTGGGTGTTTAGTGCTGGGGAGGGTTCCTTCATCAGCTTCTTCCAGTAGTCGTGCGTCTCGTTGATCACCTGCAAAAATTGACGTTAAAAGGTTATTAGCGGGGGGTTTGGATGACTAAAATGTCCCAAAATAATTTTTAGAATTGAAAAAAAAACCAAATTTCAGGGATTTTCACACATTTTAGGAAACATTAAAATTTTTCGAAATTTCAAATTTTCGACAGATTTCTATGCTTGAAAAAACGTAAAAAGCGACGTAAAGGATGTGCATTGCAACTGTATGGACGTTAAACGTACGCTAAAAGGTCCTGGGCGATTAGCGGGGGGTATAGTAGCCGTCGATCGCCAAAAAAGCCAAAAGAATTTTTAGAAAAATTTAAAAACACGGAAATTTTGATCATTTTCCTGCATTTTTACCAAAAACCCAATTTCGAAAATTTTGTAATTTTAGCGGATTTCCGTGTTTAGAAAAGGCATAAAAAGGATGCCAAATTCAGCCCCCCCCCCGCTAAGAGTTCAGTACCCGCCAAAAAACAAAATCCCCTCTTCACCTTGTGAGCAAAATCGGCCTCCTTGTACTGCCCATCAAAGGCGAACTCGTTGGCGGGCTTGCCGGCGGGGATCTTGTAGTGCTTGAACCAGTCGTACGTCGCCTAAAAACATCAGATAAAAATCGTCAACACGCAGAAAAATACCTTGAGGAGTCCCGGGAAGTGGACCTCGACATCGGCCGTGTTGTTCAACTTGTCGGCCAGCGGATCGTCGACGGCAATGGCCACCAGTTTCCAGTCGGTCTCTCCCTCATCAAGCAGGGCAAGCGTTCCAACCACTTTCACCTGAAAAAGCGGGTTAAAAAAGCATACTGTAACTACATTTTAATCCAAAAAGCGTAAACCTAGAAAATATTGAAAATTCGCAATTTAGGACAAAATTCCATCTTTTTCTATAAATACAGATTTTTAACTAAAAATTGTTTTGCCAATATCGCGTCTATTTTTACCGGAAAGAAGTAAAATAAAGATCCATAATTTAGGCGGAACAATTTTTTAATTGGAAAAAAATAGTTTGTAAATTACAAAATGCAGGCGAAAAAAATAGATTTTTTGGCCTGAAATAAAGGGTTTCCAGCTGACAGTTTGAAAACTGAGTTTTTCAATTCAAAACACCGGATATAAAATCTATAACTTAAGCAGAAAACTATTTTAAATTGTTAACCCTGAAAAATGTTACAAAGTTTCGAAAATTTAGGCGAAAAATCCGATTGTTTTGCCAAAAATTCCAATTTTAGTAATTTAAAATTTGTCGTTTCGACATTTAGGTTTTTTCATAGTAAAACGTACCGGAACGACCTCTCCCCTGTGCCGGACGACACTTCCAATCTCGATGATATCAATGGGGTCGTTGTCTCCCTTGGCCCCGGTCTCGGGCGCAATGTGGTTCGGGTCTTCCCATGTCTAGAAAAAAGTTAAAAATCAAAAAATTCTCAAGAAAAGAAACCTGAGGAAGAGCGCCATAGTTCCAGATGTATCCCTTGTGGGGGAAGACGTTGTGCACGAAGCGGGGGACACCCTTCTTCTCGTCCTGCTTGATTGGCGACAACGGCTCCTTGGTGGAAATCTGAAAATTCAGGGGTAAAACATGGAAAAACTAGATAGAAATAGCGTTGTTAGCGTTTTATTTTTAACGGTGGATCCAAAAATCAAAAGAGTCTCGTGTCAAAACGATAAATATTTCAATGGATTCAGCTACAAAAGGCGCAAAATTAGAAAAACTCGATCAAAACAGCATTTTCTAAACCAGTTTTTCACGCAGAATTCGAGAATATACAGCTGATCATGTGAAAACCGCAATTTTGGAGGAGTTGCGCGAAAAAAGCCTAACTACCAAAAATAAACTAAATAAAAATCGCTTTCCAAGGACAGTTTGTCGCGGAGAATCGCAAGATTTACAGCTTCGCGCGTCAAAATCGTCGCAAATTTCGCGCGGGCAAGCGTCAAATTGCCAAAAAATACGATAAACACAACATTTAGTCGGACGATTTTGCGCGCCGAATCGGAAACGCTTGTCAGAATCTCAAATTCGTCTCGAACAAGCGTGAAATTCCGAGGAAAAAAAAAGAGAAAAATAAGGGTTCGAGGCCAGGTCTTCACGCTCATCCGTAACTCGAGAAAAGGTAGGCCCAAAATCGCAAATGCGTTGGATTCAGCAAGCAAAATCCTGAAAAAACTGCACCTCCATTTTGGCGTTCGACCAGCGCGGGATCTCGACGATCATGTTGTACGTCTTCGACGGCTCGTCGGCGAACAGCGGGATGTCGTGCCACGGGGAGATGTAGCCCTGCGGTCCCTCTGGAAAAACAATCAATAAAAATCATCGAAAACCCTCAAAAAATCCTAAAACCGAAAACTCACTGAAATAGAGGCGATAGTCGAGGGTGTAGGGGGATCCGCGCTCTTCCACCATGTATTTCGGCCCATCCCCAGCAGCTGACGACGACATGTTCTTCACCGGCGAACCAGACGTCACCGCCCTGCAAAAAAATATATATAAAATGGCATTAAAAATCATATTAAAGTTTTTTTGTGAATTTTTCAAACAACGCACGGTCTATCTTGGAGTTCCTCCGAGGAAGAACCCTCATCACTATCCAAAAATAGAGTAGAAGAGTTAGAATTAGAGTTTTTAGAGGTATTTAGAGGGGAAGAAAAAGAAGACGAATTGACAGCCGACGTTTCATTCCCATGCACAGGCAAAAGGGCCAACGGCTCGTCAAAGGCCGTGCCATTTCCCAGAATATCTGCCGCCAAGTCGGGTTGTAGTTTAGAGTCTCGGGTATCGTTTGAAAAGTCAAAAATCTGCGGGTGGGTAGATTTTGTAGTTTTAGCCTCAGAGTTTGTCGTCTGGTTCAAATTACTGAAAGCGCTCGATCCAGTCGTCAGATCCAAAATTTGCGGGATTTTCTGGGTACTAGGAAGAGTCGCGGATTCTGTAGTCTTCAGATCTACAGTCGCAGATTTTGTGGTCTTCGTTTCCGGCCGCAAAACGGTCGTTAGATTCAGTTTCGCCAGCGTAGAATTCTCAAAAATCTGAGAAGTCGCTGTAGAAGCTATAGGATGATCAGAAGCCGAAAGTGCAGCGGAAACCGGGACCGTAGAATCTGTAGTTTGTGGTTGTGGCGGGGATTGCCGCTCGACCTCGACAATCCTCTCAATATACCGCGGGACAATGATGGTGCAGGAGTCTCCGCCAAGGCGAGAGACTTGCAGTAATAGATATAGAATGAGGACCATCATTAGGGGGATGATAAACAGAAAAGGGCGGCTCAAATGAAGCGGCTCCATCATTGCGCCGATTTATCGTAAGAAATCACCCAAAAATAGCGCGAAATTAATGATTTTTAGGCAATAGAATCGATGCAGATTTTTGGGGAATAGGGGGATCTAGAGAATCGAGCGGCGGTCGCTGTAGATGGGCGATTGGAGCATGATACTCCGTGTAGAGGGGGAAGGTCCATCCCATCCTATAGTCCAACAACAATACCCCCTTTCCAGTAAGCAGGATTATGCCACCACGTCAAAAAGGAGGGAGCAGAACTGCAGAACTGACACGCTAGAGGCGAATCGAAAACCGGAGGTCGCCGGCCAAAAGCCGAAGGATGTTACAGTGGTCTTAGAATACGTTAAAAAGCGCTGGAAAAACCAGGGCAATTTAGGATTTTAGCAGAACTCGAAAACGTCGAAAATCCTGAGAAATTCGTTATTGTTAGTCCAGGCAGTAAAAATTCAGGATTTGTAGCAAAAATAACTTGAAAAACTAGGAAAACCGGTAAAATCCCAAAAAGGTCTTACAAAAACGCGAAATTGCTGCCACCAATCGCAAAAAAACGAAGCTCATTCACCAAAATCCGCAAAGGCTGGGAAAATGCCAATTTGGAGCTCAGAAGATCGCAATCAAAAATTCTTAGCAAAACCCCGTCTGGAATTAGAGAAGCGAGAATTTTTAGGCGAGAAAGTAAGAAAAAAAATCCACGGTTGGGTAAAAAGGCTATAAAAACTCGCGAAATTGAAAATTTTTAGCCCTGAAAACGACAAAAAACCGAAGATTGTAGGCAATTAAACTAGTTAAACAATCCGCCAAAAACTAGTGAAAAGGTAGGACCTTTCAAAGGCATCAGTGAAGAGGTCGGTGACCGGGTTGGCACGGAAGCAGAAGCCGCAGCGGAACCACGAAAACATCGCCGATTTTCGAGGAATGAGAAAGGGATTTCGAGGCCCAGACCCCCAAAAATATGCAGATTTAGGTATGGCATTTAAATTTAGTTCGTGCAAATCTAAAAACGTGCTAACCTGCAAAAGAAACTTGGGGATGAGGATGTGGGGAAGACGAATTGACGGCCGATGACCAGAAGTGGTCGACAGAGCATACGGATCTTCGAGGAAACAACTAAATAACAACACAAACTAACTAATAACAGTGAATATAGCCTTCAGAAGGAAAAAGCCACAAAATTTGGTAGCTTTAAAGGTATCGAAACTTAGAAATTTGGTCTAGAACGCCAAAAATGCGAGAAAAGTTTACAAATAAGTTTTAGGGCCATAAATAATTCATTAAAACTAGCGTTTTACCACTACAATTTACGTTTTCAAGGCATCGGAAAGCTAAAAGCTAAAAATAGCTTCAAAAGGCTCAAAAAGCCGCGGAAAATCTTATAGGTATCTTTTTTGGGCTATACAATAAGCGCGAATTTATGTAAACTATGCCTTAAATTATGCCCATACCTCTTCCAATGTTTTCCGCTATAAAAACAGCAAAAAGTTGCGTTTCCGGTAAGAAAAAGCACTTTTTCTCGAAAGGGCGGCGATCGGGGGAGGTGGACGATAGACTCCAAAGTACAGGACGGGCCTCCTTTGCCGCGAACTATCAGGCGGAAAACCCTCAAAAAAGACAAATAGTGATCAAATACACGGCGATGTTAATGTAAAAACCGTTCCGAAGCTTGACTGGATGGCAGTTTGTGGAATGACACCACTTTTGACGCGATTTCATCGGCGGGAGGTAAGTTACGGCCGTTAGACGATCGCATTTTTGTAAAAATCTTCATTTTTGCGGTAACTGAAGTCTCTAGGCAAATAATAATCTCGGAAGGGTGTCAGTACGATGAATAAAGCACTTTCTGACGGATAGATTAGGGCATTTAACGGATAAACTAGCGTATTTCGGGGTCAGTTTTACGAAAAACCCGTTGAAGATCGCAAATTCGACGTTCTAAAATTCTTACCCATAAACCGTAACCGTCGAGAACGCGAGAATACCGTATAGCAACATTTTCCGCGTGTTTTCCCGCTCCGAGTGGGCTTTCATTTTATTTGTTGTGGGTTTATTGACCTAACGGGGGGATCAGGACTTTTGATGGTCACTCGATCGGGCGGACTGAGAGAAAAATAGTAGACAAATAGACAGAATATTGTAGACAGATAGACAAATAAAGGATTAGAATGAATCACCGCTGCTAGCCGAGTAGATGAAATGATGATTCACTGACCACCAAAATAGCTGTCTAAAGCCCGATTTTTTTTAGTTTTCGGTCGTTACTCCCTTAATGTTCCTGGTTTTGATTTATATACCAAATTTTGATAAGATTCACATGATTTCCGGCTTTGACTTCGCCCGGTCAATCCGTTCTTTTTTTGAGGGCTTATCGCTTGATTGGGGCCCCAATTAGGCATTGACACTTTGATCAGACGGAAAAGGACACGGGCAATTGTGTCGCGGACAGCACGGTCTTTTTTGATAATTTAGTGGCATCGACTGAACAAATACTGTTACTGATCGTTACAAACTACAAACTGACAGTCACTGCATCGAATGGTACATAAATTAGGCTAGGCAAAGGGACTTGTTTTTTCTATTTCCGGATTTTCGGAGATTTTCAGAAACTAATTTTTCTTTCTCTTACGCCTCCCGAAATGTCTAATAACGTAATAGAAAGGATTCTGATAGTTTTTTAGTAAAATTTAGCTATGTTTAAAGTGGCAAAACAATTTTTTAAATTTATAAAATCTCTGAAAATTCGAATTTTTCCGAAAATCCACATCTTTGGTCTGAAAATTGAATTTTTTCTAGTTTTTGATGAAAATTTTGATACTTTTACGGTTAAAAATAAAAATAAAAACGGTTTAGAAGCAGCCCTCAACTTATATCGGAAAAATTCGATCCTAAGGAAAAAATAAATAGAAAAATGATAGATCTCCTCAGAGCTCGAGCTTAGAAAACTACAACCTACAAATTACAAAATGGCATACAATTCCACGACAAACTACAAACTGACAGTCACCACATCGATTGACACCAAAATTTAAGCAATAAAGCGCGATTTTGACGGGTTGAGTTTAAAGGACCACAAACTACAGACAACCAACCACAAAAAACGAACGAAACCAAACAGTACCGAAAGGACGATGCATACATTGTTGTCGTAATACAGATTAGAAGATTATATCTCTAGAGAGCCAATTTACAGGCTACAGACTACAATAATCGAGTCGTTAATAGATACCTTGGCGGGGCAATTATTCTGACTGGAGTAGTAGTGGTGTCAATTGGATTAGTCGTAGATGAGGGCCAACAGCATGGCATTAGAAAGAGAATAGAAATAGACCGGTAGAAAGGAGGGGTTTCTCTGGGTCTCTTCAGTCTCTCTCTCTCCCTCCACCTGGAGGCATCCTGATGAAGAAGCCACACGCTAAGCGGCCGGATTTATCCCCCCACCGAGGGGGGCATCACGAAGAGGGGACAACATCCCAAATTATCCCTGCTATCGATTTTCGGGGCTTTTGGCAGACAGATGGGATTTTGGAAGGAAAATAAAAACATTTGTGAGAAACCTGGAAGTCAGAATTTGCTGTTTTAGCTTGTAACAGCTTAAAAAACTCAAATTCTAGTTGGCATCGATTTTCGCAGTTTGCATGTCAGAATATCCGATTACGACATTGAATTCTTCAAAGAGCCTTCAGAAGGTTCAGCACATCCCAAATCATCCGTGCCATCGACTTTCGCGGCTTTTGGCCGCGTGAAATGTGAAATAAAAATATTTCGATGGAAATTGCAGTCAGATATCCGATTACGACATCAAATGCCTTTCACGACGTCTTTAAAACAACCCAAATCGAGTTTTGCCGCCAAAATACTAAACAAAATAAAAATAATTAAATTTTACAAGTCAGATTTTCCGATTACGCCATGAAATTCTCTTTAAGACAACCGAAAATCTTGATTTTACGTACAAATAACGCACTAAAATCAAATAAAAGGCACTATGCGTTCCAAAATATCCGATGACGACATGAAATACATCTTACCACGTCTTTAAAACAAAAATAACAAATATAAAAAGCATTTTAAAGGTCAAAAAAGCTAAATTATCCGTCAGAAAAGAGGATTCCAAGAAAATCAATGGCCAAGCTGAAGGGCGCCTCGAAAAGTGATAAGAATTCCGAGACGGTCTCTCGTTTTTAAGAAGGGCAATTGGTGTTGGGAAAGATTAGGCCACTTTTCGACTGTCAAAAAGGGGTCAAATTCCCCCCAAATTGACACGTCCCATTTTCGAAAATGGCGTTTCCGGCTCTACTCGTCGTCAGCTTTTCCAAATATTACGTCAGCCAACAAAGCAAACACCAACAATAATCCACGTGTACACACGACACCTCTGTACGGTTGCGCTGTATTTGTTGTCGGTGTAAAAAAAGGAAATTTTTGGCCTGGCGTTGGACTCTTTTGAAGGGTGAAAATGTGGACGAGTTCGTACGATTATTACGATTTATTTATTTATTCCCCGTTTTGTGTGTATGTTGTGACATGGAAAGAGCACTTTCAGAGAGAACGAGAGTGACGGGAGAGAACGAGAGAGAGAGAGAGAGACGAGAAAAATCATAAAAAGGAGAAATCCTTTTAAGGACCGTACTATACGATTTTTGTAGCTTGTAGTCTTAACTGTCTCCCAGTCTGTGCAGCGATACGATTCAACCCCAGAAGTTTTAGACTACAGACCTACTACAAAAACCTCTAAAACCGCTAAAAACCTCAAATTTACTAGTACGGCCCTTTTAAAAGGTTCAAAAATTAACTAGCCGATTTTTAATACAGTAAAATTTTAGAAAATAGGATTAAAGGGCCATGGAAGTAAAAAAACTGGCAAAAATTTCGATTTTTAGTCGATTATCCTCAATCGTCTCTGCTTCAACATGTGAAAGTTTTCGTAAATCTATAGCCAAACTCATTCCAATGGATTATGTACTATCTTAACCTTTATATAACCATGCCCCTTTCCACATCATTATTGACTTTTTTCTTTCTTGCTATTCCAATTTTTTTCCTCTTTCTCGTTTTTCCTACCATATTCCCTCACTTTTAAGCGTTTCTCATTGAAACCTTAGTGTTGAATAAATTATTATTATTATTATGGATTTTTTGACTTCCGGGTCCCTTTAAAAGGTGATATGGAGGACAGATAAGAAGAGCATTGATTGGTTGATGAGATTTTCAGGATTAGGATAGTATAATATACAATTGGGGCATTAAATCACGATAATAAATCAAAAAATATCGATAAATATCGATCGATAAATGGTTATATTTATAATGCCATAGCCTGTTGATGTCTCAATGGGGAATCGACAAGAATATGGCTTTGTCTCCTCTCTGAAATATCCTCAAAGAATGGCAAACCACGCTTCTTTGTCGGGCGGCGGATCACGAAGAATAGATCCTGGAAAATTCTCGTGAATTTTAGAAAATTAAAATTTGCCAGGAAATCCCTAAAAATAGATTTGATCCTGGTTTTAAATGGAGCGTGCCAACTAGCTCGGATTTACCTAGCGTAATCGGATCTCCCGAATGTAGTTAGCTCAGATTTTACTATCGTAATCGGTTGCCTGGCAGCCAGTCAGCTGATTTGACTGGCGTAACCGATTATCGATCCGCTAACTAGATACTTCCGAGTTAACTAGCGTAATCGATTAACTGGCTGTCAGCTAGCCGATTTTAATGGCGTAATTTATAATCTGGCTACAAAGCAGCTGTTTTTAATGCCGTAAACGATTAACCGGCTGCCAGTTCGCTGATTTGAATGGTGTAATCGATTCCTCGCTGCCACCTAGTCGATTTTAGTCGCGTAATCGATCGTAAAAAAATTCGAATTGCGTAATTAATTAGCTGAATGACAGCCCGACAATTAGTACTTTGAAACAAAATCCCTGAAACAACTGCGAATTTTACGCCCTAATTACGACAGCTTTTTGTGCCTTTTCAACGCAGTTTGGTAGTTTGTCGTCGAGAACTAGAGCCGAAATCCTTACCTTGAACCCCCTGGTGAAAATGTAGCACAGGATTGGGGTGACGAAGGCGAAGATATTCATTAGAAGATTCGAGAGGTCCACCAGCCAGTACCATGAATATACCACTTCACCGACGACGATCCTGAAAAATGGCGAATTTTTGGGATTGTAACGGGATTCTGAAGGCAAAATATCGTTTTCTGGTCTGCAGAAAGATAGAACAAGCTCTCCGTTGACCTATTATAGGGTTTTATTACTTTTTAACGCCGAACTTGTGTTTTAAAGGGATTATGAAATCAAAATACCGTTGTCTGACCAGCAGAAAACTAGAAAAATTCGTTTTACCTCCATTATCGATTGAAACTTCAAACTCACATAAATAGCCGAATGGAGGCTGAGAGAGTGGAGCAGAGGAAGAAAAAAAGGAATACACAGACTGTCAGGTGGGCTGCACGGGTCTCGGTGTCACGGCGCGGCATCTCGGTTGGCTAAAAAGAACCAAATTACGGTGTATTGGATTACGATACAAAAGTTTAATTTTCGATCTTTTGTTTCTATGCTTTTCAAAAGTCAATTTTATCGATTTAAAAATCCTGCTAAAACCGATTACGATATCAAATAGAAGGCAGTTCGCCGAAAACGCCGATTTTGCATTGTTAGAAAACGGATTATTCGATTACGCCATGAAAATCGAGTCCGATTAGCCTATCGATTACGCTAACAAATTGGCACCCAGCTAGCGAATTGATTACGGTATTTAAACATGGCAGTTTGGCCGAAATTACGTATTTTTAGGCTTTAGAATATTCAATTACGCTATGAAAAATGAGGCGATCTAGCCGATCAATCACCCCATGAAATTAATCCCCAGCCAATCGATTACGCAATCAAAATCCGACCTGATCCTTCCTCAAAATGGACAGCATCGATCCATTCAACCATAATAGAAGAGCTGCAGGCAATCCATAGACAACCATTCCATATATCAGCCCCTCTTGGATGAGTTTATATAAAGGGAGATTCTTGAGGACTGTTGTCTCCACGAACATTGTCTCTTCATTGTATCTGAAAGTATAGAATACAGGGTGTCCCAAAAAAAAACCCCCCCTACCTAGCGGTCCGCAGTCGATTCCGATTTTTACGATTTAGGTATCTATCGAAAGCTCTCGAAAAGGCGAGAAAACAAGGAGGGTTGAATTTCTTAATTCAGCCTTTTTATTTGCTAATTTTATGTCCAAAAACCATGAAAACTGCTGATTTATGCGAGATCTGCATGCTAATTGCGAAATCCTACTATATATAAAAAATAGTGTCTGTGTGTGTGTGTATTTGCATGCAACTTCCGTAAGTATGTACCGCACCTACAGCCTCAGGGCAAGGTTTTCAAGGTACGTATGATACGTCATTAGGTGCGTAAGGATCCCGAGATGGGTGCACACATATAAAATTTAAGAAAATCGGCTGTTTTCGCTATTAAAATTAAGTTTTTGTAAATATATCGAAAATCCTCTTTGTTAGGAGGCAATTAGCATTGACCGGAAGTGGCCGTAGCCGATAAAAAGGGAGGGAGGGTGCGCTTTTCTTTTTTTGGTGATCGGCATTCGGCAAGCCCTATGTAAAGTCAAAGTTTCAGATGCTAAAAAACGGGTCCAGGGTTGTAAAGCCGCGAAGCGGTTTTTCAACCCTGGTTCCTGATAAAAAATTCTCGGCTTTTTAGGAAAACCTGAAATATCGATAGAATCAGATTAAATCTTAGAAAACGAAACCCGCTTGTTTTCTCGCCTTTTCGAGAGCTTTCGATTGGCATAAAAATCATTCCGATCCGATCCGATTGACGGCCTCTAGAGGGGGGGAGGGGGTTTTTTTTGGGACACCCTGTAGTCAGTTGGATGGCAGTTTATATAGAAAATGGTTTAAAGGGCCAGTCAAGACATATTTCGATCTCCAATTCCTTGTCAAGATATTGGGAAGGCAGAAATCTTGATTTTTCTGGCCATGGTCTTGCCTTGTACGCCCCTTTAAGCCAAAAATTGCTTGAAATGGGCGATTGCATGACAGGTTAGCTATTAGAATAGTTTAAAGGAGCATCGAAGACATATTTCGACTTCCAGGCCGCTTTAAAGGGTCCGGCAGGGCATTGGAATGGCCCTTTTTGGCATTTTTAGAATTAGCTATGAGTTTGGCGCGCCGCTGCACTCAACGCGCAACCTGCGCGACACTTGCGTCGCGTGTCGCGGGACGGCCAAATAGATCATTGACTTCTCAGTCCCTTTAAAGCTCAAACTGCCTCACCTGAATTCCCAAAATCGTATGATATTCAGACTGATTGCCAAGAGAATGACCACTGCGACGGCAAGACGAGAATTTCGGATCCCGGCCAGTCGTTTCTTCCATGGATTGCTTGGGTGGCAGATTGCCTAAAGCCGCGGATTTGGAAGCCACCAAAGTCCAGAAATTCAAATTGTTTCGGTGAAACAACCCATTTGTCTGCCAACTGGAGGAAATTAGGCGAAAAAGTGTGTTTTTTGGCCGCATTTGAAGTTTTGAAATTATTTAGAAACGAAAAATCTGATTTTTCCATTGTATTAAACTCGTATGAAATACTCTAGAGAGCAACAGTAAGAAAAGCGCAGACTCAACCGAACAATTTTCGAGTAAGATGACCAGGGGCGTAGCCAGAAAAAAATTTCGGGGGGGGCCCGAAAAAATTTTTCCAAACAACTCAAAACATTGCCGCAAAAACAGCGCCGCAGGCAAAAATTTTTGAAAAAGGGTTACATAGCTCTACAAATAGCCGTAAAAACGTGCAAAAATAGCGCCGCAGGCAGCAAAATTTTTGAGAAAATAAAAATCATAAGGGTTCCTTATGAAATTTTCGGGCCCCGGCCGATTTCGGGGGGCCCGGGCCCCCGGGGCCTGTATTACGCTACGTCCCTGAACATGACAATCAGTAGGCTTAAAAATCGAGTTTTTTTTACCCTAATTCCATTTTTAAAAATTTTCCACAATCAAAAAATTCTATATTCATTGATTTTCCGCTAAACTGGCAACTAATAACTAATTCTAAACAGATACCGTAACCCCAACAAACCTGAAATCGTTGTGCACAGATGAGGGTGAGTAGCCATATCGCCGCATAATTGACAGTCAATACAAGTGGATAGCCATAACGGACAGAAATAGAGGAGAGACGGAGAAGGAAGGAGGAGAGTTCTTTCGAGGAGGATGAGATATATTGCTCGATGGCTGGGAGGACGAGGACAAAGAGGGAGAGCAGCAGCTGAAGGCCATTACAGATGGAAAGCGCCACCAGATAGGTGAGGAGAGATGTCTTCCGGAAATAGCCATTGTTTGACACGCTGAAAATGAGGTGATATTGAGTTTGTAGCCTAGGTTGTAGCCCAGTTTGCAGTTTGGCAGGCAGCTCATCGATTTTATCGATTTTCTGGGGTGTGGTCCACGTAAAATCGAAAGCTCGAATTTTTGTTGCCTAATGCAGTTGAATTTTGCGGTTTTTCCAGTCCTAAGCTGTATAGTTTGTGGTCCAGTTTCGAAATTGGATGCTAGAAAAACGATTTTGATCTTTTTTATAGTCATTAGTTTTCAGAAAAACGGGGAAATCGGACTTTTATGAGAATTTATATTTAAAGGCCGTTTTGTAGGCGTTGTTTCCGGATTTTGTAGTTTATGGTTTGTAGTTTCAAATTGTCTTATTTTTTAGAACTATCGATCAATTTTTACGCCTAAACACCCACCAAAAGAACACGGCGACGCAGGCGCAATTCAGGAGAAATCCCAGCGAACAGAGAAGGGGCTCGATGAATACCATCAGCACACAACTGAAATCGATAGTTTGTAGTTGGCAATCTGTAGTTTGTAACATTGTGTACTGTAGGGTTTATATTGTCCTACAGTAACCATGTTGTTGGGCACCAATGGCTTTTTAATGTCCCAACCTCAGCGTTGCCCCACGGCAATCGATCGCCCATGAGGATGAGGATGAGTCATTCGAAGACATTTTGATGAGCACCAGCTCGAGCTCCGGGTAATCTTCAGAATTGGGACGATCGATCAGTACTGAAACCGGAAGTTGACGAGAGAGCGAGAGAGCGAGAGAGAGGGACAGCTGGCGAGAGAGAGATAGAGAGAGCGACAAAAAGAAAATTCTTTGAAAAATGACCGTGAAATGAGCGATTTTTGGAGTGTTTTGTAGTTTATTAGCGACTTATAAGTGCCAGCTGATTCTAGAGAGCTGATTTCTTATCAAACTGACATCCCAATGATATAAATTAATTGAAAAGACGAGAGCGCAACAAGGAACAAGTCTAAAGGTATGGTAAATTCCGATTTTTCGCACAATTTTGTAGCTTGTAAGCCTTAAAATCGTCAACTGACTAGCAAAAAGCCTATTTCCAATTACCATAAGCCGAACGAAAAATGGACCGAAAACACAAAGATCAGAGCTCGACACTCGAAAATGTTGTGCAAACGGCGAAGCATAAAGGATATCTGGACGTCGAGTCGAGGTCTTTTTTGTGAAGAAAAGGTGGACAAGAATCGCGGCGTAATTTGGAGTGTATGGAATAGAAAAGGGAGAGGAAAGGAATAGAAGATGCCTTAAGGGACATTGACACAAAAGGAGGCAGAGAGAGAAGAGAGAAGGGGAATTCTAAGGGCAAAACGGGATTGAGAATTCAATTCTGAAAGGGAAGGGGAGGACGGGGATTCGAGGAATTCTGAAGAAAAGGATTGCGGAGGGAATAGAATTTGAAACGTAGAAGAGAGAGAGAGAGAGAGAGAGAGAGAGAGACAGAGAGAGAAATTCTCAATTTGATGCCACAAATCACGATCGTACCTCTAATGGGAAGCAAGGAGAGACAAGGATAGAATACAGACTACAACAAAACCACGAGGGTTCAAAAAGCAGTATTCTGGGCACCAGAATAGCTCTTGGTACGGGTTTGGTAGGTATTTTTCAATTGCCCAGCAAAATGGACGCGCTAGTCGCTTGACTGAATGCCAGTTAGAGCACGGAACACTCAAAAATACGTCTTGATGTTGATATAAAGTTTTTCAATATGAAGCCTGGATGCCAGTTCGATTACAGAATACCCTAAACAAGCTCAAAATTACCTCACACACTAATTTTTTGGGAGTTTTAACCTTTTCGAATCTTTGGCTGGCTGCCAATTAGGGTACCTAGACTACAAAAAAAAAACAGAAAAATAGATTTTTCCGGGATTTCACGGTGTTCAAAACGTAGCTGGCCGCCAGCTTGACTACCTTACCAGCAAGCAACCCAAAATACGGGCTGGTGAAGTGTTTTTAGGAGGGGAAGAAAGGACGACTAACTGGCCCCCAGGGAAGAGGAGGAGGAGAACAAAATAGAAAAGCCTATTCTCAATCTATCGTCATTACATTGGTGGTGTTTTTAGGTTTGTGGCGTACACCATCCAAAAACACACAATAAAATTCGGGGGCCCGAAAAAGACAAATTGTGGAGTAATTGAAGGGTAATAGATTTAGGGGGAGGGGATGGATGACGATAGTAGCGGACCGAATCGATGGAATGGACGGCAGATTAAGAGAATTACCCGACTAAAAATAAGTCTACAGCTACCAAAATAGTTTATTTTAAAAATTTAGACAAAATTTTACCCGAAAATCGATAGAATGCATGCCAGGTTGAGGATTAAGAATCTAATTAAAATTTCAATCAATCTCAATTAAATCTAATTAAAAATAGATATAACTGACTGCCAGAAAAAAATTTTAAGTACCGAGAAAGGCATGGCCATGGATTTTGTTAACTATGGATTGCCTATGGATTTGGCGATCAGGTGGCGTGTGCTTTGCGTGTCGCGGCGCGCAAAACCCATAGGAAATCCTTGGTCGTGCCTTGCTCGTCCCTTTAAAGTGCCAAATGGCAAGTGGGTCTCGGAAAACTCAACCCTGAAGGAATAGATAAACTGACATCCAAACTGCATATTTATTTGGGGTATCCGTTGACTGGCCGCCAGAAAACTCAGTCCAGATCAAGAGATCTTTAAACTGACATGCAAGGTAGACATTAATAAGGTATATCCGTTAAATGGCTGCCATCAAACTCAAACCGAAGCCAGAAATCGTGAAACCGGCAGGCAAAATGCACATTAATTCGTTAGTTCCGTTAACTGGCTGCCAGATAAGCTTCCCAGGTGAGAGTTGGCCCCGTTGGACTACGGTAGGGCAAAGTAGGGCCTTAGAGGAGATGATGATTTGGTATGAAATTGATGACAATAGCTGGGAGGTTGGAGCGTGAAAAGGAGGGTGGGAATCGCCATGAATTAGCCGGGTTTATAGGAATCGAACGGAATGGAAAGAAACGAAATAGAGTGGAAAGGAGGAATCGAATGGAATTGCCAATTGACTAGAAGTAGGGAAGGGAAGAAGAAGCTAAAAGAAGAGAGAAAATGGCTGGTACCTGAAAACAAACGTTCCTTCCTCTAGCACTTCCTTCTTCAGCTTTTGTTAGCTTCTTCTATCTACTCAAATCCACGTAGACTTCATTACACAATGAAATAGGATCCCAGAAAACACAAAAAAACAACAATTTAAAACCTAAAATCAAGAACCGAAATAGGAAAAAAACCATATTTTAGGGTTTTCTGACATCTTGTAATGCTCTCAAAATTTCAAGGACTATCTAAATTGTTAAATTAAATTATTTGACTGCTATTTAGCAGCCAGTATACGCATACGGACAAAAGATTCGGAGCTTTTGGATTCTGAAGGATAGGAATGTTAAGAAAGAAAAGCAATAAAAAGCACCACAATAACAATTACACAGATTTGCGCATTTGAAAGGGATTTACAAGCCAAAAATCCATAGATTTTCCCCAAATAATCAATGCTCAGGGTTCAAAAAGACACCCCGAAAATGGGTTCGACGGCTGTTTGAATCGGATGGGGCAATTTTTAGCGTGGCGGAGAATGGGGAAGGGGAGAATCGTGGGAGACATTCTCTCTGTCTGCCAGTCATTGCAGCCAGCCATTTGTTTCTCTATTCATTTGTCGTGATGTCCAAATATCGGAGGGCGTCAAGAGGAGTGTGGCGTAGACTTGGGTCGGAGATAGACAAAGAGAGACTGCGAGAGAGAGAGAGAGAGAGTGAGAGAGAGAACGAGAGAGAGGGAGCGGGCGATAGAGAGACCCACACAGAGAGAGACAGAGAGAGACTGGAGAGAGAGAGAGAGAGAGAGAGAGAGAGAGAGAGAGAGAGAGAGAGAGAGAGAGAGAGAGCGAAAACGGCATCCCGAGTTGTGAATATTTCATGTCGATTTGTGTCCCTGGTGTCTGTCTGTCTGTCTGTCTCTCTCTCTTTCTCCCTCACTCTCTCTCTCTCTCTCCTCTATCTGTCTGTCAAAGAATATAGAAAAGCCTCTTCTCATACTAATGATGATTCTGTAGATGATGAGGATCTCTTGCTCTCTCTTTTTTTTGCATCTTTTCCCTTCAAAAAAGCCATTCCCTCCCCTATCCCCCAACAATAACAATATGTAGAAATAAGGATATGCAGGAGATATGTGCCATCCCTCAAAAACATCCACCCACCACCCAGAGGAGGGCCCAAAGCCCCCTAAACAATCAAATCTGAGGTCAGCTGCATGGGTGCTAATTTGGCTCAAGAAAATTATTTTAGCACCTAGATGTCGCTTCACCTTTAAAAATCAGGTATCTATCAGGTTGGTAGATAAGTCCTGTCAAAATTTTTTTAAATCGCTCTATATAGCCGCAGACATGGCCGATTTTAACGTTTGATACCTGATTTGATAGATCTTGGGTTGCACTATAATGGGAGCTGCCGCACAAGGCCGAAAAGTTACGGGACGCCGAGTTACAGCACCGGGAAGTTTTTCATAAAATCTTGAAAAAGCTTTTTAGCGTGATATCTCTGCATAGAGAAATTTGCATGCGATACCTTCAACACCAATCGATAGCTCTCGAGGAGTAGATATCGATAGATGTTGAGATCGTCAAAAATGGACACCGAATGGCCGAGATACGGGTCCTTGAAATTTGGTTGATTGCTTAGAACTTTTCCCGAAATCCCATACATTTTACGCATCTGTGACAAATTTTGCCAGTTGATTTTTGAGCGCTCGGAGAATGTTTTGTCTAAATGTATGGGAATTCGGAAAAAGTTCTAAGAAATGGACCAAATTTTAAGGGCCCGTATCTCGGCCATCCGGTATCCGAACGTCATCTCGGCCTCATCTCTCTCTCTCTCTCTCTCTCTCTCTCTCTCTCTCTCTCTCTCGCAGTCTCTCTCTCTGTCTCTCTCTGTGTGTCTCTCTCTATCGCTCGCTCCCTCTGTCTCGTTCCCTCTCGCTCTCTCTCTCTCTCTCTCTCTCTCTCTCCTCTCTCTCTCTGTCTATCTCCGACCCAAAGACTACGCCACACTCCTCTTGAGCATCCCGGGTTGTGAATATTTCATGTCGATTTGTGTCCCTGGTGTCTGTCTGTCTGTCTCTCTCTCTCTCTCTCTCTCTCTCCTCTATCTGTCTGTCAAAGAATATAGAAAAGCCTCTTCTCATACTAATGATGATTCTGTAGATGATGAGGGATCTCTTTTCTCTCTCTTTTCTGTCTCTTTTCCCTTCAAAATGGCCATCCCTCCCCTATCCCCCTAACAATAACAATATATAGAAATAAGGATATGCAGGAGATATGTGCCATCCCTCAAAAACATCCATCCACCACCCAGGGGAGGGACTAAAGCTCCCTAAACAATCAAATCTGAGGTCAGCTGCAAGGCAGCAGCGTTAGTCTGGCTCTAGGAAATTATTG